GGCAGCGTCGGGGTGAGAGTGAACGTGGTGAGCATTTTGGGAATCACCGGCAGCGTCCTCGCCAAAGAAGATGGTGCACTTGAAACTCTCAAGGTAACACAGTGGCTTCCGACCTGAACTGCTCAGTGATTAGAGGTGGGGGTGGGGTTTCAAAACTTCACCGGACATCGTGAGACGAGATCACATTAAACTGCTTCCTGGAGGGTATTAGTGAAACGCACCCTGTCGTGCGGGGTGTGAAGTAGAAACGCTGCCTGAAGGGTTCCTGGAAAACAGGCCCGAGCAGTGAGCAGCCTGTCCCGCGGTCGCCCTGCTGCTTACAGTGGAGCCAGTTTGGCGCTCAGCCTGTCCCCTCGCACCTGTTTACCAGGTGGGCGCCCTCGGGGGTGAGGCTTACGGCCCGCATGCTGCCCGCTGTCTGCAGGTGGGGAGGGCTGCCGTCGGCGGGCTGTGGTGAGGTGGGTGTCTCAGGGCAGCACAGTGGAGCCACATGAGACTGTTGTGTTCAGTTTCTTTCATTGCCTGTGAGTGTTTGTCTTACACTTTAAAAAGCAGGGTTTTTTGTTACAGATACTATTTCTATGCATCTTTACACCATGGGGAAAGCCTTTTTGAGGGTGACGAAAACTTAATAATTTTCTAAATCCATCTTTCATATATCATTGTGGACCTTATTTCATCTTATTTAGTAATATAAGCTCTACTATGTTTCATTTATCTTGCTTATATTTTACTTGGTGTATTTATAAATATGTGTTAAGTCTTTTAAAAGCTCTCCTTTGCCCCTGGCGTTTTATGTAAAACGTTGCGCATAAACCGCTGCCACCGTGAAGTGGTGCTCGGGAATGGCCCTGAGCGCCGGGTGACGGTGCGTTCTGTCGGCTGCAGACCATCGGTTGCTTCCTGCTGGAGGTGGCCACCAAGGACCCGTCGCTGGTGGTGGTGGGAGAGGCCCTGGACGCCCTCTTCGATGTGTTCGCTGACGGCAGCGAAGCTGAGAGGGCCTCGGTGCAGATCCGGTTGTTATCTGCCCTGAAGGAATTCCAGCCAGTCTTCAAGATGAAGGTACGAGGTGGTTGGGTCAGAAATGCTAACGCCTCAGCGTCCCGGGGAAAGGGGCTTGGGGGGGAGGGGGGGCGGTGCGGCCCCTCCCAGCCGCCTCACCTCCGTGCTGCCTGGAGCACCGGCCCGGGCTGAGTCCCCGCTCAGTCACCCAGAACGTGCAGCCGCTGGGACTTGAGCCAAATGGCCGCTGATGTTCTCCTTCCTGTGAGTTCAGTGATGTCACAGTCATGTCCCCATGTGGGTGCACGGTGGTCTGGGGCCCTCAGAGCTCTTCACATCTTCACCCTGATGGTATGTCCTGCAGTGCAGACAGTGATGTCATAGTCATGGATGCTTCCCTTTGGGGCGCTGAGAAAAAGACAGACTCGCCGCCGGTCTCTGTGGGGGAATGGCACCACTCTCATTCGCTGTTTTATTTATTCTTTCATCTGAAGCATCACAGCTACCTTTGAGTCAAAAAATAATTTTCCAAACCTCTTCTGGGGGCAGGTGGAGTGACACCAAGAATTTTACAACAGCCTTGAACCACATGCGTCTAAATTTACCATTCCCTTCTTACCTAAATCTTAATTTTTAAATTATGTCATTTTTTAAACAAAAATATTTGTGTTTTTCGTATTTAGATTTTAAATTCAATATTCCCTCTTATATCTTGGTGGGGAGAATAGAGGTTTTGATGGAAAGTTATCCTGCTTTTTTTTGTTTTCCAAAATGCATTTCTTTGATCTAAGAAGCTTTTAAAATAGAATTTCAGGCCTCATGGAGAGAACTCTGTGATAAGTTTTAGGTGGTTATGATTGTATGGCTAGAAATTTAAATTTCCTGAAAAAATTTTAAGACATAAAGTAGTTTTCACCCAGCCGGTGTGGCTCAGTGGTTGAGCATTGACCCCATAAACCAGGAGGTCACCGTTTGATTCTGGCCAGGGCACATGCCCAGGGTGCAGGCTCGATCCCCAGTAGGGGGCATGCAAGAGGCAGGTGAGATGATTCTCTCTCATCTCTATCTCTCCCTCTCCATTCCTCTCTGAAATCAACTAAAAAACAAAAAGTTTTCTTTTCCAGAAGAAAAGAAACTATAAACCCAGGCTGTGCCCATCTTCTGCCATTGTCACATCTGTAGTAGGTGTCGGTTTAGGAACATTAACAGCGGTTTGTTTTTATATAATGTTAATGTCATTGCAGTAAATTTAATTAAATTAAAAGGTGTATGATCTTAATTTATTTTTATGGCTCATGTGCTGTTACTCCATTTACTTTGAAAGTGAAAATGTTGACTCCGGCGACTTGACAATAAGATGGCGGCGTAGGTAAATGCCTGTACTCATCACCTTCCACAACCACATCAAAATTACAACGAAAATACCCAACAACCATCATCCAGAACCGCTGGAAAGCTGGCGGAATGGAAGTCCTACAACTAGAGGTAAAGAAGAAAGCACTGAGACTGGTAGGAGGTGCAGAGGCGCGGAACAGGCTGGTCTGACACCCACGTGGGCCGCTTTTTTAATCTGGAGGAAGATCATCTCTGCGGAGTTCCCCGGAGGAGCAAGGGGTCCCAGCCCCACACCAGACCCCCAGCCCAGACTCCCAGAGCTGGGAAAAGAAGTCCCTACGGGCAGTAAGAACTACGGGCTGTAAAAACCAGTGGGGACCGGGGCTTGGTAACACACAGGCTGCTAGAGATCCAGCTGTTCCTCTTTAAAGGTGGCACCACGAACTGAACTTACAAGGTCCGGCTTCCCTCTGAGCTCCAGCATCAGGGCGAGGTTCTGGGGAACACAGACACATACAAGGAGGAACTGGATTGTCTGGTATCAGGGCAGGAACTCGGGGGGCGGCTTTCTCCCAGACGGAGGTGCTCACAGGGATCATTGTTCCTATGCTGGGATCTCCCGGTCACAGGGCTGACTGGCAGCCATTTCTATTTGTTCCGTCCTGGTGATTCCCTAAGGCCTGGTCCCACCTAATTTACAACCCCACCCAAGCTACAGCTGGGTCAGGAAGCCCCAAACCTATCAATAAAAGGCCCAAGACCCGGCACCAGTACCAGCCTGCCTTGCTTCACAGCTGGGCCTCATCTGGGCACTTCCAAACCCAATACAAAGGAGGAATTTGAAGATCTCTCGTAGCTTCTGCTGGGTGGCCCCAGGCAGTGGCTGACTTTGCACTTCTCTGGAGACCCAAGAGCCAGTGTACCCATTGGTCAGTGTGAGACCAAACCAGATTACAACTCTTCACATCCATAAGTGACACACTCAAGGGGCAGACTCAGTGAGCACCAAAGCCCCACAGAAGCAAGTCCTGCTCCATAGAGGTGTCTCCTGCACAGCAGCTCTCCCACTGTAGTTGCAGCTGGTCTTCACAGCCAATTGTTCTGGAGGTCAATTCCTCCCAGTGACACCAACAGCCATCAAGTCTCAATTACAACAAAACAGTGCTCACAGCCCACAAAGGGGTGCACCTAGAGCTCCCAGCTCTGATGACAGGGGGCTGAGCCACCTTGCCCTATAGAATACCTAATAAACAAGGCTACTCTACCAACTCAAGGAGATGTAGCAGCTCTACCCAATACATAAAAATAAACACAGGAAGCAGCCAAAATGTGGAGACAAAGAAACATGTCACAAATGAAAGAAATGGAAGAAAGCAAGCTACTGGATATAGAGTTCAAAACCATGGTTATAAAATTACTCAAGAACCTTCTAGAAACCTCCAAAAAAATGGAAAAGGACTAGTCAGAAATTAAGCCTACACTGACTGAAATAAAGAATAATGTACAGGGATTCAAAAATAGAGTAGAGGATTCTGAAAATCAAATCAATGATTTGAAATATGAGGAAGCAAAAACACCCAACCAGAAGAGCAAAAAGAAAAAAAGAATCCAAAAATATGAAGATAGTGTAAGGAGCCTCTGGGACAATTTCAAGTGTACCGACATTCGCGTTATGGGGGTGCCAGAAAAAGAGAGAGAGCAAGATATTGAAAACCTATTTGAAGAAATAATGAGAAAACTTCCCCTGCCTGGTGAAAGAAATAGACTTACAAGTCCAGGAAGCGCAGAGAACCCCAAACAAGAGGAACCCAAAGAGGCCCACACCAAGACACATCATAATTAAAATGCCAAGAGCAAAAGACAAAGAGAGAATCTTAAAAGCAGCAAGAGAAAAGCAGTTAGTTACCTACAAAGGAATGACCATATGACTATCAGCTGATTTCTCAACAGAAACTATGCAGGCCAGAAGGGAGTAGCAAGAAATATTCAAAGTGATGAATAGCAAGAACCTACAACCAAGAATACTCTACCCAGCAAAGCTATCATTTAGAATTGAAGTTAAGATAAAGAGCTTCACAGACAAGAAAAAGTTAAAGTCCATCACCACCAAACCAGTATTATATGAAATGTTGAAGGGTATTTAAGAAGAGGAAGAAGAAGAAAAAGAAAAAGGAAAAAAAAAAAAGAACAAAATGCCAACAAATACATACCTATCAACAATTGAATCTAAAAATCAAAATAAACGAATAAGAAATCTAATGATCAGAATAAACTGGTGAATAAAATAGAATCAGAGGCATGAAAATGGAAGACTGATGATTCTCAGACGGAAGGGGGTGGGGGGCAGGAAGGTATTATACAAAGATCTTATATGCACATATGCATGACCTATGGACACAGACAATAGGATTGCAGGTCTGCGGCAGGGTGAGAACTGGATAGATGGGGGAGGCCAATGGGGGGGGGAGGGAGAAGAGAGACATCTGTAATAATCTCAACAATAAAAATTTTTTCTAAAAGTGAACATGTTTCACCAATTCCAGCAGCTGGCTCGTTCTGAAAATAAATACACCCAAAACGAAATGCTTTCTTGATGTAAAGGAATTAGTAATTGACACCAGTTCGTATATGGTTTTCTTTTGGCAGGTCCGAAAAGAAGGGAAAGGAAAATACAGTCCAGATCAGCTGTGCGTTCTCAACAACGTGAAGACGAACTTGAGGAGGTTCGTCGCTTATCAAGAGACTGTTGAGAAAAGACTGGCTGCTTGACCTGTTGAAAGAGAGCAGTTCTCGTCCCAAAGTGTTCAACTCTACAGGTTCCCTGGTGCGTGTGCATTTCCGTTATTCGGTGTCTGTATCTGTGTGTAAGTTCTCAGAACTTCGAAGCCTGCCAGAAACCCTTCCTTCCTGAGCTCTGGGATTGGGGTGGCGTTTCCCGTGCTCTCTCCGCCTCAGTCACCGGACACGGGACGCGGGAAGGCTGGGAGCTGGGAGGAGCCTCGTGGTGCTCTGTGAGCAGCGCAGAAACTTGACTTGATGTGGATGCTCTTTTAAGTCAGTATCCTTTTATACTAGCTGAATTTTTAACAATTTGAAGACAAGCTTTATGAAAGATTTTTGGTATGAAGTATATCAATTATGTTTACCTTTTGTGAAGTGAATGAATTGAATTTGTATTCCACTATTTAGTCGAATGTACGAAAGAGCTAATGAGGTCATTATCACCCTCTATATAAACAGATCAGATCAATTATTGCTTTGTAATCTTGTTTAATTTGATATGTCATCAGAATTGGAGGAAAATATTTTTAATAAATAACTTTTTAATCAAAAGCTTTGTGTCTTATAAAATCTTTTCAAAAAATACCAGATAGTCCTGTTTCTGGGCATTTGCTTGCTAATGGGCATTGCTGTGAATATGTGTGAGGTATTAAAAACCAGACTTAAGCAGGGACCTCCAGCATGACTCTCAGTGTCCATGAGACATCGCTAACTACAAAACATTGTTGAAGAGAGTAAACCTGAATGAAGGGAGAAGTATACCATGTTCATGGATGGGAAGATGGTATTTCTTCCCAAATCCATGCTCTATCCACTGAGCCACACCGGTCAGGGCAATAGTTATCTTTTAAATAAACCATCAAACAATATCTTAAATTTGGGATAATTAGTATCAATTGCATTATATTTTATTTAAGGATAGTAGTGTCATCAGAAGAATACTTATATCCTTTTTTTAAAAAATAAATTTTTATTGATTTCAGAGAGGAACAGAGAGAGAGAGGGAGAGAGAAACATCAATGATGAGAGAGAATCACTGGTCGGCTGCCTCCTGCACGCCCTCTACTGGGAACCGAGCCCACAACCGGGGCATGTGCGCTTGACCGGAATTGAACCTGGGACCCTTTAGTCCGCAGACCGACGCTCTATCCACTGAGCCACACCGGCCAGGGCTTTTTATCCTTTTGAGATAGACTGAGCTCAACAACAAGAACATTGGTGTGTCTGTCTCACAGAGGACATCTAACAGGCCCTGAGACAAAGGACAGTTAAACCCAATTACTGCCCTAATTAAGATAAACAGTGTCCCTTGTCAAAGAGACTGTACTTAAGATCTTGCTCTATACCATTGATGGCGAACCTTTTGAGCTCGGCGTGTCAGCATTTTGAAAAACCCTAACTTAACTCTGGTGCCGTGTCACATATAGAAATGTTTTGATATTTGCAACCATAGTGAAACAAAGATTTATATTTTTGATATTTATTTTATATATTTAAACAATGTCTGCTCACCTTGATTTCTTTACACCCATCACTGATCTATTGGCCGCCTCCTGCACCCCCCATACTGTGGATCGAGCCCACAACCCGGGCATGTGCCCTGACTGGGAATCGAACCTCGACCTCCTGGTTCATAGGTCAAAGCACAACCACTAAGCCACGCCGGCCGGGCTAAGAAGTGAATGTTTTACCCTCCCCCCCCACTCCTGGCAGCCCACGAGGTGGTATGCGTGACGTGAAGGCACGTCCACTCCACAGGGACGGTTCAAGTAACGTCCTCATGCCCTCTCGTGTCCTCTTGCTCCTTTCATCTTTCATGGGTTGAAATGGGTGTAAAGAAATCAAGGTGAGCGGACATTGTTTGGGGGCCTCTTACCTGTGAGGTGAGAGATTGGAGCCGCAGGGATTGGGGAAATGAACTAGAGGGTCTGTAGCATTAGTGACGAACTAAGCACCCCCGGAGTGAAATGTTTTCAGCGGCCTGAGCACAGGGGAAGCGGATTTGAACGACTTCCGAACAGAACTGGGGATGACCCGGGTCCACGGCCGGCCAGTTAGAGGTGGGGAGGGAGGGATGGGCAGGCTTTGTCCTTGACAGATGTGGAGCTAGATTCTTCCCAGTCCCTCTTTGCTCCTCCTCCTCACCACTCGGCAGCCCGAGGATGGGTCACCCGGCCACGTCCCTGCAGCGCCCCGTTTGCTGCCTCCTTCATACCTGTCCTCCAGGGCTGGCATTCCCGCCAACTGAACAAGGATTTGGCTACGACGACACATACTGAGCGAAAACACACCACACCCCGGAGGACCACAGGGCTGTGAGCACGGCCCCCGACTTGTCTCTGTGTGCCCATGTTCAGCATTGGTAGAACGAATGAATGAATGAATGAACAAATGAATGAATGGACAAGGACACTGGTTAAGTATTCATGTTTCTTGGGAAGCATGTGATGTTGGCCAAGAGGCCAAGTACAGCTTTTGACCTTCATAGGATTCAAAGTCATGACCTTGTAGCCACATTGGCGAGACGGGCGGCTTGAGTAGCTGGAACAATCAAGCTGATATGGCTTTCCCGTCACCTGTGAGAGATGGAAACGTCGCACACAGATGCGCTCACACAAAACTACTTATGATTTATCGTAAGGAGGTCGGCAGGCGATATAACACCCTCTGCAGCCAGCCGTTCTCCGGTGTTGATTCATCGCCAAATATTCGTTATGGTCGTGTGTTTTCAGGTGCCGTTTTGGAACTCTGAACAAAGGTCACCCACCATGTGTTGCTGTGGCCATCGTCCCTCACTAGTTACTGGGAGAGAATATCGGTGCCTCCGACATTCTCTCGAGCCCTAGGAGAGGCACCCAGGGTACCCGGGGGACCTAGGCTAGTTTCAGAACAGGTCAGGGGTTACAAGCGTGACACGGTTCCATCTCTCGCGAGTGGTGACCCGGCAGCTTGCTCGTGGCTCCCGGAGGGGCCTCTCAGAGCTCCATGCTGCCCTCTGACTCAGTCTTCCTCGCAATGGAATGGGTTCTCTCCGTGTGTCCCCAGCCTGCAGACTTCTGCTCCATTATTTTGGCTGCACTTTTCAAAGCCTGTTATTAGACCACCCCAAGACTCCAGCCTAACTCTGTCACTTACTCAACATTTTCTTGAATGAGATGCCTTTTAGGTCAGATGCACAGTAATAGTAAGGGGAAAGCTTGGACCCTTCGGCTGGCACGTTACCTTAGAAAAGCGAAGGCCCCGTGGCCTGGCTCTCGCACGTCTGAAAGCCTGTGCGGCAGGCAAGTTCAAGTGCACCCTCCCGTGACGCACGTGCACACGCAGACCGCACAGGCGGGGCGGGTCTGGCTCCGCTGTCCACTCGGTGGCTCTGCTTTTCCAGGGCAATGTGTTCACCCACCAGGTCATTCCTGGGCACCTACTGCGCGCTGGGTCCTGTCCTGACGACTGAGGAGAGAGCAGGGGACCAAGCAAAGGCGCTCCTTTGCTGTTGCTGAGTAACAGGTGACCACGAGTTCGGCAGCTGGAAGGACAGGCGTGTAGTGGCTGTCAGTCCCAGGGTCAGGCGCCTGGGCATGGATGGCTCTGCTCGGGCTGCATTCTCCCTGGGCTGCGTTCTCCCCAGGAGGCCCGGCAGGAGGAGCATGTGCTTCCGGCTCAGCCCCGCGGTGGGAGGCACCCGCCTGCTTGCTGGGTCAGAGGTCAGCTCCTGGAGGCCAGTCCGCTGTTAGGTCACATCAGCAGGGCCATGGCATCCATCCCTTCGCCACGTTCTGCTGGTTAGAGACAGGTCGTAGGTCACACCCTCAGGGATGGGGAGTGATTACACAAAGAGGGGAACCCTGGAAACTGGGGATCATGGGGGAATCATCTCAGAGTCAGTCTGCCCCCCACCGGGCCCCTGCTGTCATGGAGCTTCATTCCGTGGGGCCAACCGACCGCGGGGCACAGACGGAGAAACACGGGGTGCTGCAGGTGAGAGCCAAAGCTGACCATCAAGATGCCCAAAGGGGCCCGGCCGGCGTGGCTCCGTGGTTGAGCATCGACCTATGAACCTGGTCAGGGCACAGGCCCGGGTTGCAGGCTCGATCCCCAGTGTGGGGCGTGCAGGAGGCAGCCGGTGGAGGATTCTCTCTCATCAGTGATGTTTCTCTCTCCCTTTCTCTCTCTCTCAAATATGCAAATAAATAAAAGGAGGAAATATTTTTTATTAAATATTAAAAAGAAAAAAGAAAGAGCTGCCTTAATAGCCTGGCGGAAACTTGAACAGTTGTGTCTCTTTCCCACCGTCAGCAGGCGAGGCAAGCAATTCTCTGTGGGGGCTTTACAGCCACAAGGTCAACCTCTATGGAAACACCACTCAAATCAGAGGTTACCCGCGAAGCCAAGTCTCTAGAGGCAGAGAGAAGGTTAGTAGTTGCCCAGGGCGGGGGTTGGGAAAAGGGATTGACTGCCAATGAGCCCTAGAGATTTGGGCGGGGGGGGGGGGTTTGATAGAAAATATTCCAAAATTGGATGGTGGTGATGGCTGCACAACTCCTGACTTTACTAAAAAAAAGTTCACACTTAAAACGAACAAATTTTACAGTGTATCGTTATACTATAAAGTTGTTATACACCCACGTGCACACGCACGCACTCACGCACGCACACACGCACTCCAGAGATCCCAGAATGGCACACCATTGAGCAACGTGTTTCTAAAAACAGCGCCGGGAGAAGTTGGGACTGTCCTTCCCACTGCCTGTCACTCTGCCATCTCATTGAAAAAGATCTCCCTACTCAGAGTCTGCTTTGTTGTCCCTTCATGAAGGAGGAGAGAAAACCCACAACATAATAATGTAGATATTGTGTGCAAAAGAGGGAAAGTTCGTAAATGGGGCCTAAGCCTCAGGTTACTAATGCCTGGGAGGAGTGCTTCATAAGCTGAGCCCCGGAGGTACTAGTAACCCTACTGTGTGCCTATCAGCCCCCGGCTGGTTCGCTCGGGCGGAGGGCGGGAATACAGTGGTACACCGCCCCTGCCTTCATTCCAAGGCCAGTCACCAATCACACCCCGTAATAGTGCACGGGCTGTGCCCCTCCTGTTTCGTGCGAGTTAATACGCCAATAAAAATCCTATTTAAATCTGCTGGATTCTTTGGTAATTTGCTTTCTTCTCATTTCCCGGCTCTGTTTTTGACCTGCAGAACCTTGGTGTTGCCGTAAATCTTTCAAGTTGAGACCAACACCTCAGCATGTTCTTCCCTAAGACCAAGAATCCTGAGAATGAACAGGACATCCTATATAATAAAAGGCTAATATGCAATTTGACCAACCGGCCAACCGACCGGTCACTATGATGTGCACTGACCACCAGGGGGCAGACGCTCAACGCAGGAGCTGCACCCCCTGGTGGTCAGTGCGTTCCCACAGGGGGAGCACCGCTCAGCCAGAAGCCGGGCTCACAGCTGGCAAGCGCAGCACTAAGGATGCTAAGCGGGGAGCAGGCCTAAGCCGTCAGTCGGACATCCCCCCGAGGGCTCTCCAGACTGCAAGAGGGCGCAGGCCAGGCTGAGGGGCCCCCTCCATCCCCTGAGTGCATGAAAATGTCTGGGTGTGTGACAGCTGTGTTGTTTTTGCTCATCAATATAATGCAGAGAGTTTTGAAGACTATAATGGCTACTCTCTTGTTCTAAAAAGCAAAATGAAAAGGTTGAGTCATCAAAATGTACGACTGAAATTAGTCTGTCCTTCGGATGCAGCCGGTTACTCGGAGACAGACACTGCGGATTTGTCGGAGAAAGTGAACCCATTTTTGTGTGTAAAGTTCCCTACTGTTTGACTTGAGACTGGATGGGTTTTGAGGAAACCTCCACAAGAGATACTTTATGGTTCTAAATCATGGCACCACATCCCACACTCAATGACACGGCCTCATCATCTGGTCCACAAAGGATATTCCTGCCCCAGGGCCTTTGCACTGGCTCGTTCCTGGGTCCTGACGGATCGTTCCCTAGACGGACATGACCCACTGCCTCACTTAAGTCCCTGCTCAAATACCACTTCCTCAGAGCAGCCCTCCCTGACCAGCCCATCTAAAAATAGCCCAGTCACTATCCCTTTCGCCTACTTTCTTTTTCTTGGTAGCACTCAACCACGGTCTGACCTGACACGCTTGCCTTACCGCTGGAATGTGAGGTCCATGAAGGCGGGAACTTCGCCAGTACAGGTCACTGCTGTATCACCGTATTCTGGTACAGAATCTCTGCTCGAGACATAGTTGTTGAATTAACTGAACAAATTGCCATGTGACTTTAAATACTTACCACCTTTGCCTCCGTAACCAGACAGCAAATTCATGGCAGGCAGCCAAAGGCCCTGGTTGCTCACTTATCTCCTCTGCAGCAATTAGCTCCGTTGTGCATGGATGTCCTGAGTGAATGCGCTGAAACGTGAGTGTGTTACCAGGCTAACAGGTCAGCATTCCCTGCAGGTGAACAAGAACAGGGCCGTCTCACCGTCCAGCCCACACCGTGGGAAGTACTTTTACATCTCTGAGCTCATTTGGTTGTTTTGCCAATGCTGCAGTCGTTCTTAAGGTGTTTTTTTAAAAAATATATTTTACTGATTTTTTTTACAGAGAGGAAGGGAGAAGGATAGAGAGTTAGAAACATCGATGAGAGAGAAACATCCATCAGCTGCCTCCTGCACACCCCCCACTGGGGATGTGCCGGAAACCAAGGTACATGCCCTTGACCGGAATCGAACCTGGGACCCTTCAGTCCGCAGGCCGACGCTCTATCCACTGAGCCAAACCGGTTAGGGCCGTTCTTAAGGTTTGCCTTTGGAAATGAGCACTCAGTACAACTTACCTTCGTTTCTGGCCTGGGCTGCCACGAGGATACTGTTTTGGGGGTGGGTCTTAGATATCAGCGGCATTCAATGTGTTCCTGGGCATTTGGAAAAAGATTTTAAAAGCCTGGGTCACATTTAAAGTCAGGTCAGTGAAAACGGAAAAAGCCTCTCGGATTTTTGGTCCCTTGACGTACACGTGCGCCTGGAGAGGTTTCTGGAAGACTGTGTCACAGTCTTCATGGTGGTGGTTTCTAGATGGCGGGAGCTTTTTCATGTTTACTTTGTTCAGGTTTCTATTTTTCCCTTTCGAATTTTTAAAACAAACTTGAAGTCCTCAAAAGAAACCCATCTCTATGCAATGCTTTATTTTTGTTTCGCTTGTCAGGGTGAATAGCATGAAAACACTCCTCCTTTTCCAGGCGAGGTGATTCTCCGGACACCCCCAAGGGGCCAAAATTCTATAGGTTCTGTAGGTTTTCCGTATTTACAGCCACGTTATTCTCTCAGCAAGAAAGAAGGGAGAGCAATGCTTCCTTATTTGATGGTTTTTTCATCATTTGCCAAAAATACTTTCCAGAATCTGGAGCTCCCCACACAGAAGGCCCACATCTGGTGCTGGGACTTGTGGACTTGGGACCCACCTTAGAGCCACACCGGAGATGTGCCCATCTCCTTTTTTTTCTCCTGATGATTTGAAATGCTTCACATTCCCTGTCCCTGTCTTAGCCAGAGGGATCGGGAAGGTATGCAAATCACCACCCCGTGGGAAATCTCTACCGATGCCAACAGTATCTGGTCCCCACGTGCGTCTGAAAGGTCTGGGGCTTTCTGTTCATTCTGAACCAAGGCCTTTGCAAGAGGGCGGTGCACCTCGGGGCGGGCGAGGTGTCCTGACAGCCCAGCAGCGCATGTCCGCCTCCGCGCCTGGGCACCCGCGTGCGTGGCCGCGCAGGGTGGGTTTTGGGCCCACGGCGAACACACGCAACGATCCTGCACGTGCAGCCGCGCAAGGGGGCTGGGGGCCCTCCGCCCGGGCCAGGGCGCGGCTGGTCGGGCGCGGGGCGCTCGGGGCGGTGGCGCGGGGCACCAACGCAGCACCAGCCGAGGGCCGCCAAGAGGAGGTGCGCGGGGGCGGACACTTCCTCTCTATGCTAGTGTCTCCGAAGCCGGGGCCTCGGGAGGGGGCGGGACACCAAGTATATCGGGAAGGCTGTGTGGTGATGGTCCCTAGTGGCGGTGT